GATAGATAGATAGATAGATAGATAGATAGATAGATAGATAGATAGATAGATAGATAGATAGATAGATAGAAAGATAGATAGACAGACGGACGGACGAACAGACAGACAGATAGATAGATAGATAAGTATTAAAGACAACAACGTAATGTCCTTATTTTTTAATATACAATCATATTTATATATTTGTATTTATATACATATAAAAATACATATAACATGTTTATTTTATTTTATTTTATTTTATTTTGTGATTATAGTGATGGAAGACATGGAATAATGGTGCCAGAAAACTGATGCCAGAAATGCAGCAATGACCGTATTTGGAAAGTGCTGGTTCAGGCAGCTGTCCTGAAACACTCTCACATTGGCCATCGGGCCATCTTTATTGTCAAGGCCTTTCATTTATCTATTGCCGGCTTGGAGGCCCAAAACTGAATGTGGGTGTTTTTTTGTTGACGCCACTAAATGGGCCGATGATGGGACTTTGGGAAACTTGGGGAGTCAGTGCTTACCACAGCCCAGGGCCACGGCAGCTGAGGCTTCAGGGGTTGAATCAGGCCGAGGTGTTTAATGTGTGACCAAATGACAGAGAAGAGCTCAGAGGCCAGTCGCAGCTCTAAGAGATAACGTTTATTCTGACAAATGAGCCTGCCGCTTTTCCCTCTCAGATGTATTACGCTGCATTCATTTTCCATTAAGCAACCAATGTTATTTAGTGTGATGGCTCTCTTTTTCTCTGTGCAGGACCCGTGGCTGTGATCAGTGGTGAAGAAGACTCTGCCAGCCCCCTCCATCACGTCAATCACGGCATCATAACCCCGTGTACCCTAGATGCCGGACCAGACGCTGTGGTAATCGGCATGACTCGTATCCCAGTGATCGAAAACCCGCAGTATTTCCGGCACGGGCACAACTGCAGCAAGCCCACAACTTGTGAGTACCAAATAGGCACCAAGACTGTTTATTTTATTTTTATTTATGTCTAGATTTCTTAAGCATAATCATCTGCAATATTTTCCTGCTGGCTATTTATCCTGAAAACATTTAATTTGCACTCATAACAAGCCTCCACAAGATTTCATGGTTGCCAGATGTCAAGAGTTAAAATCCCCCAATCAGAGCTTTTATCTTAAATCAATACATTTTCTGCCTAGTGCTAAAATGCTAAAAAAAAATTCAATTTGATGATTTTCAGTTCTGTTTATTGAGTATTCATTATTTGGGACATATGTAGTAGAATAACCTTAAGCATTAAATATGCAGTATGAGCACATAGAAAAAAATGTGTAGAAACTATTTTCACTCTATTGTTTGTCACATTTTTTTGTTTAGCAATTTCTAAGAAACGGCAAAGTAGCACATTGAATTAAACATGATTCAGATCAAATTGAGCTAATGCTTGCTGAATTATTTGATTCACTTACTGAACCACAAGCCATTAATTTTGTTACGTCCAACTTGCAATTAAACAAGAACTGTTACTACTTTATGTTGAAAGAATCAGTGAATCAATTAGTCAATTAATCAATCAATTAATTGGTGAAATCAGTAAATTTGAGAATCAGTGAGTCATTTGAATCATGTGTCAATTAATGAGTCAATGAATTAATACAATCATGAATCAGTGAATCAGTGTAATCAATCATCATTGATTTAATTCAATCAGTTAATTGGTGGGATCAGTAAATTTGAGAATTAGTGAGTAATTTGAATCGTGTTTTTTAATTAATCAAAGAATTCAAACTTTTTTATTTGAATATATATTGTGCACTGCATACTCACGATTCCCATTCCTGCCTGCCAACAGCCATTTTTCGTAATCCGACTTTGTTCCACACAGCAGGTGGCAGACGTTCCCGAGCTCTTCATTGCCCCCTTGAGTACTCTTCCAAACAGAACTGATTCAGTCTGAAGACTCCTGCCATTTGAAAAGCCTATGAAAGCATACTTATTACAGTGAGTGGCAGTGACATTGACAGTGATTTGTTGAGTTTCTGTCCTTGCCTAAATTTTTACAGTGAACTCAAGGAGTGCGTAAATCTGCTGCCTCCCTTAGCAAGACTCATCACATTTTAGTGCACCTACTGTACTGTCATATTTCCAGAGTAAATTGAACTTGGGTTTAAATTTAGGTCAGCTGCAAATTCCCTCATGTGCCTTACAGATTGTATTCTAGACAAAAGCATATGTATGCTTGAGAAAGAGAAGTTGAAGTGGGGAACGGGGGCGTGAAAAGTCGATAACTTTAAGAAGAATTTGAGTGGGCTCTCAAATGGGTCTCAACCACAAAAAGGAAGCAGATTTTTGTGTTTTGAAATGCTCACTTGAAAAATAGAGTTATTAAAATAGAGAAATATATTTATATATGTAATAAATAAAAGTTATTAAATATGTAATAATCGTGTAAAATAAATAAAATTGTTATTATTATTTTATATAAATATTTTTCAAAGAAGAAAAAAAATCTATCTGTTTACAAGAACTTTAATAGTTATTTTCTGGATAAATTTAATTTAATCTGCTTTAACCAGGATGAAAAAGACTCTATAATTCATATGGTATTTTAAAGGGGTCATATGATGCGATTTCAAGTTTTCCTTTCTCTTTGGAGTGTTACAAGCTGATTGTGCATAGATAAGATCCCTGAAGTTGCAAAGACTAAAGTCTCAAAACCAAAGAGATATTCTTTATCAAAGTTAAGACTCTTGCCACGCCCCCCTAAAACGGCTCGTTCTAACACGCCCCCACATATCTACCTCACTATGTGGAAATATTAGCACAATTGGCAAACCTGATTTCCACCTGAGAAAAGGATTCACACTAGTCCTTTTGGGGCGCCGATGGGGTTTTTTTCTCTTCCACACGGCCTTGATCCAGACTAATCTGTGAATTATCTGTCTTTAGGATTTTACATTATTCCGGGGCTGGCAGACTGTATTCCCATAACACATCCATTCTCTCTGTTCTATTCTCTCTGTACTTCCTATGAGCTTTTCCATGATTTCCAAATCAAGCCAAAATTGGATTCTCAGCGACATGCAGGGAGAAAAACTGTGCTACCTTGTGTTTCCGGGCACCATGTGCTTCTGATCTGCCTGTTCCCGCTCCAATGTGGAGACAATCCCAAACTAAGCGAGCTTTGTTAAATCGGCTTAATTTTATCGGCCTCTAAAGATGCGATTCTGGTTCTCCATCCTCTTTTGAACCCCAAAAAAGTGGCAGAGTATCATCGGTCATATTGTGCTGCTTTGTTGCCTCATAATCAAATCAATTTGATTTGTTTGTGGGCAGAGACATGCAACTCAGGAGGGATATAACTTTTGAAGCACCTGGAGGCAACCAAGAAGATTAATTGAATTAATCTGAGCCAAAGCAATAACAACACAGCTGATTGCATGAGGTGTCAATGTCGTGTCCGAATCCTGAATCTTTGTTTCCTCTAGATTTTTTTTTTTTTACAGAAAAACTTTTTTCTTTTTAGCACTGACATTTTTTTGCAGATTCTTGTAAATGTTTAAATATTTTAAACTATTTTATACAAATAAATAAAAAATAATAAAACAACTAAAACTCAACATAGAAATAAAGCTAGAAACAAAATGAAAATTGGATATGAAAAATATGCAAAAATAAATATATACTATATATATATATATATATATATATATATAATTTTTTTT